GGGGGCCCAGCCAGCAAGTTTTGGGAAAGCCCGGAGACGGTGTCCCAGCTGGACTCAGTGCGAGTCTGGTTGGGCAAGCACTACAAGAAGGTGGGTTCGCGCGCCCGGGGCCTGGCGGGGAGGGAGGCCTCGCGCCGGGGGCTGAGCATGGCCGCGGGCCTCGGGCCGCCCTTCCCCCTCCGCGCGCCACGAGGGACAACAAAGGCCGGCGCCGGGCCCGCCACGCCCCCGCCGTCCGCCTTCAAGATCTGCGCAACTTGTGCCCACTGGGACCGGTGCACGCTCCGGCGAGCCCACGCTTTCCTGGCCAAAGCTCCTTGTTTCCTAGCGTGCTGGAGGGTGTGAATCTTTCTCTTTTGTTGGCTGCGTTAGGTGTGTGTACAGTGATAATGGGAAACTCTGAGCCAGCGTTGTAAAAGCAGTTTCAAGTTTTGTTTAGAAACAGATTCCAAAGTCTAGTGAGGTAACTAAAGCTTTATTTAGTATGTGTTGTTGCTTTGCACAAAAAGCTGAAAGGTTCTACTCGGAAGTTAACAACAGGTTAATATGATGAAGTATACTATTGATGAGAACTGATACTGTTTTAAATGATGGCTTTTACTTCATTGTGCTTTCGGTTGTGTGAGTATAAGGGTTAATGTTTACTTGCACTTAATGTGTTCTTCATTGAAGTTTTGCCTGAGAACTCCATTTGTATTACATCACTTTCCTTCATATAATCTTTATTTTCTTACAAGTCGTTACCACTTTTTGAAATTACTTTTCATTTTCCTAATTGTCTTCTGTTTTCGGAATGTAAGTTCTGAAGCTGGTTTTCAGAGTTCGACTCAACGTCTTGTTCATGTGTGTTTTTTAACTTTCTTTTTATGAAAATTCTCAGGAATACTCCTTTAGAAGGTGTAATGAAGCAAACAGCCAAAAACACTATGACCCCAACAAGTTTTTGGAGCACTCTCTCACTTTACTACTCTTGTTGAGGACTTAACACTGGGACAGGGACTTTGTCAGTCCTGTTCCCCACACTGTGTCCTGGAAGTTGGTTTGTATTTAATTCCTCACTCTGTTGTTGTTTAGTATACATTTGTTGAATGCACGAACAGATTTATTGGTGTAGGAAGCTATTCACCTGGGGTCTACAATGCAGTAAAGATTGCCAATATTGTTAGTTGTTGGGTATAGGCAGAGATCTTGGGTTCCTTTCACATGGCACTGTGATTCATTTAGAAATGACTTTTTTTTTTTTTTTATTTGAAATTTTAGGAAGTGAGAGAAATGTCATTAGATTTGACTTTCCTATCCTGAAATATTGGAGTTGTATTTGGGTCTGTAGATTTTTAATGTCTATATGTGAGTAGATAAGAATATTGCACTCACACAGTGATGAAGTGGTTACTTTTTTTGGTAGGTAATAGAGCTTCTGGAAGTGGTGTAGAGAGTTGAATATATTGTGAAAATACTTGATTTTATCAACTTTTCTTCATCTAGCACTTTAGGTTTTAAATTCAGTGTAGCTTTAAGAAAGAAAATACTCAGGAGGATTATCCCTTTGAATATGGCAGGAGAGAATGTAAAAAGGCAGATAGTTACTTCTACCTTTGCAAATTCTCAACGTGCATTGGCTTGGACCCAACTTTTAAGAGGGCAGCTACACATTTAGGTAATCCCAGGGCTTTGAACCAGTTCAACTTGGTTCAGTCATGGCTAAGGAAATGAAACCAGAAAATTTGGGGAATAACAACAAAAAAAAAGGAGCTCTGGTGGAGTAGTGCATTTGACTGCTAACCAAAAGGCTGGCAGTTCAAACCCACCAGCCACTCCACAGAAGGAAGACTGGGAAATCTACTTCTTTAAAGATTACCACCTCAGAAACCCAAAGGGGGTCGCTGTGAGTCAGAATTGACTCAGTGGGAGAAAATTTGGGGGAACCAGAACAGGGAAAATGCTAGCTGAAGCCCTGCTAGAAACTTAATCTCCTTCTTAGAAAATAAGGGCAGCATGAACATAGCAACCAAACTCCCGCCTGTAGGGTTTTGCCAGAATTGGAAACAATGGTGCCCTGCTCAAAGATGGCAGCCAACTGTGCTGTGTGTCGCTCTCCATAGCCCTGCCATCAATCCAATCTCATGCATCAGGGTCCTGAAAGGGTTCACTGTGCCTCTTGTGAGTCTCCCATTCTAGGGCTTTGACCCATAATTTTTCCTGTTCTGATTACCATTTTGGATCACCCAAATTAAAAAAAATCTGATTTTCTTCTGATTTTGCTTCATTGGCTGTGACTGACCAGTTTGAAGTCCTGGATAATCCTTCAGAGATTAATTTGGGTGAGTGGCTGTGAGGCTGACTAAAGAGTTCCTCCCAGTATTGAAGCCACTTGACTAAACACTTGACTCAGTATTTTCTTTGGCTTTAAAAATAAAGTCAAAGTTAGCCTTGATTTCTCAGGGCCTTGTAAAGTTAGAGTGGATTTCTTGGGCCTGTTCTGATTCAGAATTGTATACCCTTCAGGTCTGATAGCTAGAATCCTATCAATCCCTGGGAGTGGTGTTGGAGTGATGAAAATACTAGAAGGCTCTTTGCTTCTTTTCTACACAGCATATTTCTACATCAGTGGGTTTTAACTAAATACTTCTATTGCATTCAGTACTATATTTCAAAGCAGCTACAATTTAAATCTTAGCAAGTATATGAAATAAAGGCGACATTGCTAGTTCCATTTTAATTTAATAGTTTATCTGTGCATTCAGTTACTGAGCATTTACCATATGTCAGGTACTTAAATCCTCACAGCAGTCCTAAATGTTACAAATATTATTTACCTCTTTTTACAGTAAGAGAGATGTGAGGCTCTGGATTTCAGTATCTTCTCTAAGAGCATAGTTAGGAGTAGCAGATTGGGGATTCAGTGAAGGTTCACCTGGCTCCAAAGCCTAAATAAATTGTTTTTACTACACATAATCTCTCTTGAAGGAACCCACAGTCAGAGGATAGACATAGACACCTACTTGGTGAAACCCAGGTGATTTCATATTACAAGAGTGCTTCTTTGTGTTTTCTTGGTTGTTAAATGCCTTTAGTAGGTGTTCAGTAAATATTTGTTGAATGAATAAACAGATTAACTAGTTTTGGAACCTGTTCATTTAGGCTTTGTTGATAAATTTGGTCTAGCGACACAGAGGGAATGTGAATACTTCTTGATTGTGATGAAGTTCAAATGGGCTGAAGGAAGCCAGAGGAGTTGACAACTTTTAAGTAAGAGGAAACTGAAACATGGGAGGTTCACTGTTTGCTTGAGGTTGCATTTTCAGTCTAGTAGCAGTGTAAATGCTTGTTCATCCTCTACTTAAGCCATCTTCCAGGTGTTACTTGGTACATAATCTGCTCGGATAATTGTTTTTAGAAGGATCAGGACAAGGGTGGTCCTTAAGAGATGGAAATTAAAGATGTGCCAAATGTCCAACTTTTCCAGACTACTGTACTACTCCATCATCTCTAACATCAACCCCCACCCCCACCCCCACCCCCGCGCCCAGTACCCTCTCTTCTTAGGGTTCTGTATTTTATTGTAATGTCTCACAGAACCCTCTGCCAAGGAGATGGCTCACGAGGTAGTGGCGGCTGAGAGGCTGGCAAGTCCCAAATCTGTGGGTCAGGCGTAGGTCTGGAAGATTCTCTTCACTCGTGGTTGCAGGGGCTGGTGAACCCAAATTCATATGTCAGATGACTGGCTGCTGTCTCAAGTCCAGGGATGAGATGTTCATGACCAAATGGAGGAGCCGGAGCAAGGAAGAACAAACTTAGCCCAAACATTCACATACATACCCTCAGGGAAACTAAGGGTGATGACTTGAGTCACACCCTCCAGCAAGGCAGAACTCAAAATATATCCCATCTAAGCTGGAGCTCTGGTGGCATGGTGCCTAAGGCATTTGCAGGTTGGTGATTCAAAACCACCAGCTTCTTTGAGTTCCTCCCTTGGGATGGGGTAATCTACTTCCATAAATATTTACCTCTTTGGAAACCCAGTGGGGGGGTAGCTATGAGTCAGAATTAACTCCATGGCATTGTTGTTGTTATGTACCATCGGACCCGACTCATTGGGTTTCCAAGGCAGTATCACTACAGAGGTAGATTGCCCCATCTTCCTTCCGAGGAGTGGCTGGTGGGTTTGAACCGCCACCCTTCTGGTTAGTAGTCAAGTGCCTTAGCCACTATGCTACCAGAGCTCCCCATGGCAGTGGGTGGGTTTTAAATAGGCTTAGTAGCTGGAATTTATAAGTTACAAAATGGAGGACTGTGGCAGGGAGCTCTGGTAGCATAGTGGCTAAGACACTTGACTGCTAATCAGAAGGCTGGCGGTTCAAACCCACCAGCCACTCCTCGGAAGGAAGATGGGGCAATCTACTTCTGTAGTGATGCTGCCTCGGAAACCCAAGGAGGGGTTGCTATGAGTCCGGTCTGACTCGACGGCATATAACAACAACAACAACAACAATGGCTAGAAGGGCCATGTTAAGCAATTCACTGCTCTGCAATGTCCTTCATCCTAACTTTGATAAAGATTAGAGCTGTACATCTGTCCATAGATGAGCTGGACAGTATTTTATAGGAAATGGAATTGTAAGTAGTTTCTGAGGAGTCTTCAGGTGATGAAACCATAGCAATGCTAATCTCCAGTTGATTCAACTCCAGTACGGCACATAACAACAACAACAACATACCTTGGAAGGAGCTCTGGTGGCACAGTGCCTAAGGCATCTGACTGCTAACAAGGTTGGTAGTTCAAACCCACCAGCTACTCTGTGAAAGAAGACTGGGCATCCTATTTCCGTAAAGGTTTACCACCTTGGAAACCCAATGGGGGTTGCAATGAGTCAGAATTGACTGAATGGCAGTGAGTTTGATTTTATTTTTAATATACCTTGGAGGTGAAGTGTATTATGTATGCCATTAAGCTTCCAGGTAAATGTCGTCCTGAAGTTTCACTTATTTTTGAAATATTTAAGATTTAGATTTAAGAATGATGAATAAAATTGGGTTAGATTGCCTAAAGAAAGCATTTCAGTGTGATTTACACAAATTAACGGTTAAGA